TCCTCCCTCCTCGATCCTCTCTCCTCAGAGCTAAATTAGAGCTTTGGGACGGCCGTTAATATGGCGGCGCAGAACAACTTCCGGTTCAAGCGAGGATCGAGGAGCGAGGAAATGAGAATTAAGAGACTTGGGATGTACCCAGGGAATACGAGTGAGTGTCTTCCTGACTGAACTTGCGCTTGAGCTACATTTAACTGTACTTTATGCAAATGTTTTTATGCATTTTGTTTTTCATCAAGATGTGTTCATATTAAGAATGAGCAACGCAACAACATTTTATTTCTTAAATCGAGACTCAATTTCTCATAAATAATTGTTACAGTTTTTAATATCAGCGATTCCAAATCAAGTGTCAATTTTTGAATGGAAGTTCTACTTTAGTGCCAGTTGTTTATGTGATGTTATACGAAAGGCCCAACAAAGCACGACAACTAAGGTAAGAGTTAAACCCAGATAAAACAGTACAATAGATGAAACGATCGAAAAAACAGTCGATACGATAAATAAAATAATTTAGTAAAATCAACAAATAAAACAGTAAAGCGACGACATCACATAAAAGCGAGTCTGTAAAAATGTGTTTTTAGAAGTGATTTAAAAGAGATTACAGATTCTGCGAGCCTCATCTCCTCAGGCAGGTTGCTCCAAAGCCGACTGGCCCTGATGGCAAAAGCACGGTCACCTTTAGTGTTCAGCCTCGACTTTGGAACAGACAGAAGGGCCCCACCTGAGGATCTAAGGCTGCGAGCTGGATCGTAGGGGGTCAACATTTCCTATATGTATTTCGGGGCCAGACCCATACGTGCTCAGTAAAATCTTAAAAATCAATTATAAAACGAACAGGGAGCCAGTGAAGAGAAGCCAGGATTGGAGTGATGTGATGTCGTCAGTGAGAGGCCTAGCTGAGTGACTTTTGGTTGCTGGCCAAAAGAGATAAGGGAGTTACAGTAATTGGTTTGTGTGGTGGAAATTAATGTATTTCCTTGTGAGAAATCAAAAGTATCTTAAGCTCTCTGTCTTTAAGAATGTATTACAGGATAAGATATAGAAAAAGTATCAAGAGTGTACAAGTCATCATACATGATTCAATGAATACTAACAGAGTCACAGGATTCTTTTCAGGTGAAGAGGAACAGAATTCCTTCAACCGCAGAGGATCAAAAGGAGTCTGACCACAAATTCGATGTCGAGGGGAACTTTTAAACACGTCCGAGAGACGCCTCTTCCCCCGTCCAGCTGTAGATAGCGCATACATTCACATTCAAGGTTTAGTCAGCCACTACATATCGACTGTGGACATTCACCTAAGATAAGAAAGAACAGGTGTTACAGAAATGCGAAAACTGCTGAGGTTCAAACTAAAGAGAAGTTGACAGAATTAATTTTCTACGACAGTTTGATTTTGGAGATTGTTCTAATTTGAAGAAAACAGGACTGTACAACTTTTGTGTTTTGTGGTTTGAAGCTTTGAAGCAAAATGCTACTTACTGGTGTTTTTATGGAGGAGGTTTTGTGTTTTATCCATTAAGTCACACCTTGTCAGTGTCCAGGGAACGTTTTGGTTTAGGGTGATCTGAAACAACTGCTTACCTTGGGCGTATCTTCGAACACATCCAAACATATTTATCAATCACTTTGTCAGGGGGAACTGACATTTTACTCGTGCATTATCAATATCACTGGCCAACATCAATGTGTCCTTTAAGCAATAATGTAGATTCTCCTTCACACCTTTCCTTAACCCTGTGACGTTTTCTGTAGAGGTCAATGAAAAGTGGTTATGGAGCAGACGTTAGGAGGTAATCTTTGGACTTTTCGACCGCAGCCACGTTGTGGGGCCAGCTATAATGATTTACCACCTGAGCATTGATGGTCTCTTCCCTGGCTGACACGGCTGCTGTTTAGGGTTGCTTGCTCCACACATTTCCACACATGCTGACATTGCTGATTAATGACTCCATGGTTTTGTGTAGTTAATGTTATTCTGTAAATAAATGTGGGTTTTTTATTACTTTTCACTCGTGTGGTCTCTCATTACTGTCACAACCTTTGAGCCGGGGTGTAACACAATAAGCTATAGTTACCTTCACACCTGGAAATAAACACATACATATACTAGTGAAGAGCTCCCCTGGCCAAATCAGTGCTCTAAGGAGCATTTTGATCGGCCCCATGGCTGCAGCAGCTGGCTGCAAATTCCATCTTTTTGGAAGAATAATACAATTAAGGCAAAGATATACATGATTAGAATGGAGAGTGATGTGGCAAAAAGGGGAACAATCCAATGTTGAGGTCAATGACCACTCAAGTTCACCAGAGTTCAACACAAATTGTCTCCATGTCTGAAATAAAACATTTGGCTATGATCAAACTTTCATGCTTTAGTCTTTGACTGAACAATTGGGTGAGATTAGTGCTCTGATTTTGTATTACAATATTAGCTATGCCTCAATGGCCTCTTATGATGGAATATTTGCTTTATTGTTATATCCCACAAGTTGTTGTTTCTTGTTCTTAGCAAAATAATCCAAATCCATGTTGTCCCGGACATTGTTGTGCCAGGGGTTGGACCTCACATACTGTAAGTGTCGTAATCACGTGGGAAAACGACGCTCCACCCAAAGACGGAAACATAAGCACACAATTACAACCACCAAGGAAAAGAGGAGAGATGATTTGTGTTTTGAAAAATAAACACTTGACATGGCTTCGATAATCATTGTAAAAATCTTTCTTTTGTCTTACACTTAGTAGCCTATCATGATTGCAGATATTCTTCTACAGTGCTGCCACTTCTCTTAGAGCTCACAAAGTCATGCTTTAGCGTGTTATTGATTTTTAAGAAACTCAGATATAATATAAATTGTTATGATACGTTAGAGAAATTATCTATATGTCTTTATAATTGGGTGAAGTTATGGTCTTTATAATGTGCTGTGTAACTCAGGACTCGATTTTTCTTTTAAAAACTGATGTGGCAATGACAGACCTTCAAATAAGGGGTGAGTCCCCCCCTAGTGTCTTTCAGACGTACATACATGTACAGTAGGCCTACACTGCTGTAAACACACTGACGTCACATCCGTAAACACAGTCGTCCCACGTGAAACAGAGTGGAGCGTACCATTTCCACCAAGGGCGACACAATGTAGAATATCGTATCAAGTTGCGCTCTCCAAGCTGGACGTGTGCCTTTAGTTATACGTATGCCAGTTTAAAACTTGAATTTTTAATCAAAACACTTGAATCTTGAATCGCAAACCTCCTGTTCGCCTTTGCTTGGCCGTTGATGGACCCTATGTAAGAAATGGTTTCGCCCATTTGTCCTCAGAGCCAGCTGGGGTAACCGAAGACCTTTAACACAGAGAGACGAGCATTACACAACGACGACGGATCTTCACTTTAGAGTATCTATCTCCTTTTCCGGAGACTTGAATGAGGTAAAGGGAGCTCATTTTACTCAAATTGAAATTGTGACTCTCTCGGCTGGTTTTGTTAGTAACTTTACGTTAATTTTTGGCTTTGAGTTTGGCTTCGTGGTGGAGCGGAAACGTGGGCACGTACACGCCAACGGTTATGTTTACTAAAAACAAAGACTGAATATGATATAGTGTATTAAATGTGCACGAAGTTCTTGTTGTTGTCTACTGCTCAGATCACGTGTACCCACTTCTTACGCGTGTGTGGATATTTTTTTATTTTTTTTTGGATCCACTTGCAAAGCAACACAACCAAGGATTTTCCATGTGGGGGTGAGCGACAGGGAGCTGCAGCCAATAACGAGAGACCCCGTGCAGTTAGCCCCGCCTCCCTGATCCAGTGCTTTGTTTACATTACACTGCAGACAAATCTGGATCCCAGAGGACTGTCTTTGTTTCTGCACAGGTTACTGTAACAATATGTTGCCTATTTGGATTCCATATTGCATTCATCCAAAACACCTGGGCAAGTTATATGGATATTGACAGATGTATTACCAGCACATTGCATTCCAATGCTGGATCGTACAGTCTACAATGAACCGACTATTTCAACTGTTTATTCGAATTTTCTTTTAACTTGCATGTCCAGGTTTTATCTTTATGTTATTGCATACTGCATTTTATTTTACCCAGCATTGAGACTGCTTTTAAGAGGATTTCTTATAACAAAGCAGCAGATGACAGAGTAGATCTAATCCGTACTGCATTGCTCCCATCGCTCTAGATAATCTCTAGAAAAATTGGCCTGCTGCGTTGCTGTGACCTAGCTGTCAAGTCGAGCAGATGATGTAATGAATGAGCTGTGGACACAGCAGGGGGTACATGGAAGTCACACACCCACCCTCACCCCTTGAGCTATCTTTAAACCAAATGAGCAGCGAGGGAGTGTGCATTCATTTTTGGCAGCAGATAACTGAGGCCGGGGACAGGAAGGAACACCCAAAGGGGTCACCCTGCCAGCACAGATAATATTAGAAAGGCAGAGGAGTTTGGATTTAGCTGGTATTTTTTACCTGTCTTTCTTATGTTAATGTATTTATATTTGTTTGTTTGAAAGACAGACAAAACAGGGACTGGTGTAACAGGATCGTTTTGGTGATTTGAGAAACCCTTTGTTGTCCCATGTTGCCTTGGAGATCCATATCCGAGATAAGGTGGGTCTCCAGAGCAACATGTGACAACAGAGGGCTTCTCAATAAGCTTTTGTTCAAACCTAGTTGAGGACATGGGTTCTTCTGTTTGTGTCCTGACTTTGGATAACACACACTGAAAATGTTTCTCCAAAGAATGACTTAATGCACCATCAGTTGAGTATAATATTCTTCTCAGTAAACTCTTATTGGACATTCTTAAGAATATAGCATCTGATAGTTTGTCAGTAAATCCCATGAAAAAGACCAAAACCAACAATGCATTAGTCTGTCTGTCATTACTTTCTAACATACTCTCAAGCCATTTTTTTCCCCACTGAAGATGTACATTTTGAAAATTATCAGATGGTGAATATGTAGTTTCAGTAATTCCCTTAAACAGCTGGGCACTGTAGTTTAGCTACTCAAAAAGGAGTGACTAACACAGCGGAACTACAAAGAAGAACATCCAAATTAAAGAGGAAGGACAAACTTTCCTCTTCAATTCTAAACCTGTCCCCGGTAGTAAGATCCCCTTTAACGGGTTCAGAAAGAGAACTCTTGTTTCCCTCTGCTGACGTCACAGCCAACAAGCTAAGGGTCGTAACCACCGTCTCATGTGCAGCTATAACCCAAGATGCCTCTGAATGACGAGCGACCTGGCTCCACGTCCAGCGGTGAGGAACGAGGCAGTGACGTGGAGTCGTCCTCGGAGCGCTGTGACAGCATGATGTCGACCAGCGACCTGGACTGTTCCCGGGAGAGCTTCACCAGCGACTGCTCCAGCAAACATTGCACGCCCTCCTGTGAGTTTGCCACCTCACCGTTTTTCTCAAGACAACATCTGACTTACTGTTTTTGTGTCCATGATTGCCTACTAGCCGGCGTTCATTCATCTATTTTCAAAGCTTGTTCAATATTTGGTTCCCACAGCGAGCCCACCCAAAACCATAAAACTGGATGAAGTCATGGAGTCCACCAGAGACCTGTCCAATCTCAGCATTGCCCACGAGATCATTGTGAACCGCAACTTCCACCTGGAACCAGACCGCCTACCTCAGGACAGGTATACTGTGAAAAACATCTTTCACACCCCGATCATGTTTTGTGGATTATCAGTGAGATTAAACATTAGTTTGTCAGGTAAGGTATAGATACTGTATAGACACACACACACTTCCTGTTAAGGTTATTTAGCTACTTCAAAGTAAATGTCCTTCCAATGACTTCAGTTAAAGACAAGAGGTGAAATGACTCAAAATACATCATGTTGATAGTTTTGTCTTCATAGAAATTATTTAGCGACACAACCTTTTGATCAAATATATGTAATGTATGTGAATCTGGATTTAATTCTACAGTAAAGAGAAAAGATGGGCGCAACGTACGTCACTGTCAGTCTCTGTTTATCTTAAGCACAACACAAGAGAGAGGACAGAGACAGAAAGATGAGGGGAAAGGTAAAGAAAGTGATGTCTTTAGTGTGATGAGTGAACACAGGGACAGTAGCAGATAAGATACTGGCAGCAATGCAACAAAAGTAGTGATTTATTGTTGTATTACTCTTTAGATGACGTCAGTTGTTTAGTACTTTGTGCACTGTCCCTACCAAAGCCCATTTCATAAATGGACATTTTTCCTGCCAGATTATATACTCAGCTAAACTAAATCTTCCATTTCTTTTTTTTTTTTTTTTTTTTTTCAGTTTATGGAAGATAGTTAGAGATTATGTCCACAAGGCCTTCTGGGACATCCTGGAGTCCGAGCTGAACGACGACCCGCCTGAGTATGGGCAAGCCATCAGATTATTGGAGGAGATCAGAGAGGTCAGCAGGCACACTGTGATGTTCACAGCTTCACCAGATCTGCAGAATTTACTTAATGGCTCACATTTTCAAGGCCCTTTTTGTATCTGCTTCTCTTTATCTCCATCACCTCCTTCGTGACTGGTAGAAAATCAGTAACAAATTCAGCAACATCACTGATTAATTGAGTTATAAATAGTACTTAATATCGTTTAAGCGTAGTATCATCCTATTTGGACAGGTTTTATTGTCCTTCCTTAATCCGGGCACCAATCGGATGCGGACCCAGATCACGGAGGTGCTGAACATGGACCTGATTCGTCAGCAGGCCGATAACGACGCTGTAGACATCCAGGGGCTCGCCTCTTACATTATCACCACCATGGGCAAATTGTGTGCACCGGTTAGGGATGAGGATATCCAGAAGCTCCGCGAAAGCCCAGATAACACAGTGTCACTGTTCAGGTACGTAAACAAATGGGATTTAAAGCCTTTAAAAAAACATTTGATTTGATTTGATTTTGTCATCTGAGAGAATAATCTTTGTGAGTTAAATTATTAGGCTAATTCATGAGAAGCAAGTCAATCACGGTGGCTCTTTTTTTTTTTTTTAAAAACACCCCAGGGAGATCTTCCATGTGCTGGACCTGATGAAGGCTGACGTAGTCAACTTTACAATCGATAACCTGAGGCCTGTGCTGCACAGGCAGGGTGTTGAATACGAGAGGGCAACGTTTCAGAGCATCCTGGACAAAACACCCAGTGAGTGAACACGGACCGAGTTTTCCCTACAGATTTTAATACCGTATGTTTTATTGTTTCTGTAGCCAGGTAGTACCAAAGTCTGTATTCTTGTCAAAAATAGTATTCAGAACAAACTCCTCAATCGGTATTACTGTGACAAACTTCTTCAGGTGCTTTGGAGCACACCACCTCGTGGATCAAGTCAGCACTTGAGGAGCTGTCGACCCCCATCACCAAAGAACAGACTGATGGTCAGGGAAAAGGAAAGCGACTGGTGCCCGGGCCCTTTCAGGTCCTCAACGTTGCCTTCCTCCGCATCCTTACATGGGACTACGATAAGAGCCCACTGCCTGAGGTGAGTGTGTCTCTCTAAATTTTGGACAGAGCCAGGCTAGCTGTTTTCCCAGAAGACAAATCAGCAGCTTTTCCCAAAATGTGAAACTATCTCTAAATCTCTTCTTCTGCAGACCTGGATGACTGATGAGACACGTCTGCGGGAGATTCAATGGCAGCTCCAGCAGTGTGAGGCGGTGAACGAGGTGCTGCTCATTATCTACAGTACCATTGGAGGGGCTATCCAGGGTCTGCCCTCCTTGTCTGACCGCCTGAAGAGGATGATTAGTGTGCTGCTGGATGGGATGCACAGCAAGTCAGTTCCTTCTTTTTTTTTTTTTTTGTATCCATCTTAAAAGGATAGTCCGGGTGTTTTGACGTGGGGTTGTACGAGGTACTTATCCATAGTCGGTGTATTAACTAAAGTAGATGGCGGTCAGCACACCCACAGTTGGGAGAAACTTGCAGGAGTACCAGCATGGTAGCAAAGCATTGAAGCCTACTGCTGTGGACGGGGGCTGCAGCTACATGTATTTTAGGCACCTAAAAAAAAAAACAATGTCAGTGTATCCTAAATTTAGAATATTTTCCAACTGGTAACTGAACTCAAAGTGAAACTTATCTGTACTGCTGTTGACGGTCTGGTGGCTTGAAGAGAGCCTAGATAAATGTCAGTTCAGGGCTGACTGACTGCAAGAAGAAGCGGTGAAGATATATTCTGTTCAAAACACCAGAACTATCTCTTTAAATACACAGTCTTTATTCAAACATACGTCTGATCATTTATGTGAAACGGGAGCTCAAACCCAAACTCTCCTCTCCTCCTATCTGTAGGGACTTTAACCTAGAAGAGGCACTACGGAGCGTCAGTGCTCAGATCTGCTGTGAGCTCAACAAGTCTTTAACAGAGAGGAGCTACCCGTCCCTGAGCCCGGCGCTGCAGGCCACCCTCACAGGCCAGATCTGCAGCATCACTCAGAAGGACAATCCCATCCGCACTCTAGTTGGTAAGACAGAGTTTTTACTCAACCATGAAGATTTGTTTGGCCTTTTCTAACCTTCCTCTTCTTCATTTTGTCTCTGTGCAGAGGATCGGGTGCAGCGGTTCTTTACAGTCCTCATCTGGGATCCTAAACCCAAGATCAAACTTGAACAGGTACCAGCTGGCTTGACTGCTATCAAGCCTGAACTAGCATTGATGGGAGCACAGTTCATCTCCCTGGTTAACTACAACAAGTCTGTCTATGGACCTTTCTACGCGGATATCATCAGGAAGCTGATGTTCAGTAGCAGTCCACCAGCAGCAAACCCTCCGCAGGACACCGCCCTGGACTCCGTCACCTCCAATTAAAACCAAACTTTTGCTTGTGCAGTCTAAGGAGTCTTTTTGCTGCTGGACATAGCTAAAGCTAAGAGGGCACTACAATAGCTAGGCAGTGCAACTGCTCCGCTCAAGCCAGTGTACTCCAATAGTTGGAGTTACCTTCATCGTATTGCAAATGTAATTTTTCTCACTACATTTAGCAGTGAAGGCACTGCAGTGTAGGCGCCATGCAGTAGACATTTAATGTCCCCTGCATCCTTAGCAATAAATGCTCGAAAATACTATGCTTTCCTGTGAATACTTACAGCTTCAAACCTAAAACACCAGTGTTACAGCGATCCATTTCTGAACCTAATAGAGATCCCTACATGGTAAATGTGTCTGTTGTCAGACTCCTGTTATTGTAGAGGGGGAAAAGATCAAAACCGTAGTATGTCCAAAGTAAAGTTTATAAAGTATAGAGGAAGACGCGTGTATATTTAGAAAAGTAGCACATGAGATTCCTTATGTATCAGAAAAATATTTATCACTGCTAAATCCTAAGGTAACTATATAACTGCAGTTAATTATGACCGCCGTTGAACATATTAATGCAAAACACAAGTTTCCCCATGGACTCTTTTTGATTGTTCTCCCTTTAACTTCTTTATCATCCAGACAATTTAACGTTCAGTATTTTTTTTTTAATCCACTGATTCTATTTTACAGCTAAAATAGAAGTAGACATAAAAAAACTGGGATTTTAACTAAAAAAAAAAAAGAAGAAAAAAAAGTCTGCATGAGTAGCACATGTTGTGTGTTCTATACTTTTACTTATTTTCTGCCAGTGGAATACTTGTTTTATTGATTTAGTTGCTATGTTTGTTACATGATGAGGTACTGTAGTTGTTACAGTATTGCTGTGTTGGCTGTTAGAACCTGTGGGAAAATGAAAGGTGCTGAACTCAAAAGTGATTCTTTGCACAAAGAAAAGTGATATGTACTTTTGAAAAGGTTTACATAAAATGTGGTAAGTTGTTGTTCTTGTTTCTTCTGTACCACAGTTAATATAATAAAACTTTAAAAAGAAAATTGATGTTCTTGAAAAACCACCATATGTTTCAACTTCATCTTAAAAGTCATATAACAATGTAGGCATGTTAATGTAAATGGTCTTTTTTCATGAATTTTGATTTAATGTGTTTTAAAAATACCTTAACCTCAATAGTTGTCTATTGCTGGTTCTAAGGCGATTTAATTATTAAATGTATAGAACAAAATAGAAATAAAAAGGGAGGTAGATGTATATAACATTAAACTATAATACTTAACATGAATCAAACATTCTGAATTTTGGATGACGAATGATTTTGCCATGAAAAACATCTCTGATTAGACGCTGCTGTTGATGTTAGGAGGGAAGTTATGATCAACAACCTGGAAAAATACATTTAGGAGTTATCTCCTTAATGATAACATATGGGCCAAATTAATTTCAGGTCACTGATATCACTAAATGGAGATACAGTGGTGGAATTTTGATTCATAGACTACTTACTAGTGTTTTGCAGGTCCAACAACAAGCTGATTTATTCACAGCATTGCACAGTTAATCTATTTATTCATTAAATGGTACAGACATCAGACATCCTAGACTTCACATATTGCTAAGAAAGATAAATCGGAGACTAAAATAAACATCAGGGAGATGGAGAAACAGAAACACAGAGAAAATGTAGACAGCATGTTTAAATCATAAACATGACAGATCACCACATAATTGGTTATAATAATGCATGGAAGACAAACCTTTCTTATTATCATAAAAAATTACATGTTTCAGAGACTGCATTAAATGTAAAATCTTACGAAAAATAAAATAAACGGAGGGATTAGTTAATCTATTTATGGCTACATATAATTGCATTATCAGTGCATCATTATACTGCGGAATAAACAACATGCTCTCATCTCTTGCTGTCACCGGGCAGTAATGTTGCCTTCAAATGTAGTCCCAAAACCTTGCAATACAGGAGTTACAAACACATATGGACACTTTTTGGTTACCAAACAATGTGAAATGAAAAGCATTGAGAGTGTGTCACAAACATAGATGTAAATATTATACTGTACGCAAAGACCTTTGGTTAAACTAGTTACAACTGAGCAAAAGCTTAAAAAAACGCTTAATAATGAGCAAACGCGCTTATTTACGAGCAGACGAAGAGTCCGTGAAAGCAGCATCAGTTTGCCTAGTTACAAATCCGTGAAACGTATGACCTCACCAGTCACATGGTTCAAACCTCGCCACGCAATTGGCTGCTTCACACCGGCGTAGTTGTTTTTGTTGTGAACCCGGAAGCTCTCTTCTTTCGAAATTGGGCGTGTAGAACAACGTTCACAGAAAAAGAAATAGCTTTTTCATACACTGGATTAAAAAACGTACAACTATACACAGATCAACATTCACCTTCCACGGGAAAGAAAATAAGATATTCGTAAGTATCTACTGGTTGTTACTTTCTTTGTCTCATGTACGAGCAAGTCGGAGTGAGAGAAGTGAACTTGTCGAGACAGGTATTGAAATGAGCAAAGTGTGTCAGCCGAATGTAGGTCACCTACCTACAGTAGGTGAATCATAAGATATAGATCGCGATGAAGTAAGTAAGAGTCCAGTTAAGCCCCGACTCTCAGTATGTATATTCAGTTTCACATTGAGTGACTGGCCCTGCAGATCTGTGTAAAAGTAACTGCTCACTCACCATTTCATTGATCCCGTTCAGGAGAAAAAGTCCGATAAAAGTTATATTAACCAGGTCTTAACTTTGACCTTCTTACTTTAGAACAAAATATCATGGCGACTTCTTAAACTCTGTGAAATATCACTTCTGTGTTATAGAGCTGTGAACAGCCGATTAGCTCTTGTAGTTTCACTTTTAGGATCTTCTGGTTCCTCTTTTTGATTGTGTGTAAGTACATTAAATAGAATGATTATTTTGGGGCATGTTTGTCATGTAGGTCAGCAACTAATAATTGTTTTCATTATCAGTACAGTTACAGCTCCCCAGTATGTCTATTTTAAGCATTTGGGGGGAAATCTTTGCCTTTTATTTGAGATTAGAGACATGCAACCAAGGTCTGGACCTGAACCTGGGATTTTGCATCTACAGATAAGCCTACATGTTGGCGCCCAAAGTTAAGGAAATAACTACGACAGTATATTGTAGATGTGTGGCAACAATTTGGGGAAATCCCTGTCCTGCCTTGGCATGTCAGTAAAGTGGGGTGTGTAAAGCAATGTGTTTCCCAGTGTGGTGTAGATGAACTTGGACTCAATAAAAAGACATATAGTAGCGTATAGTAGCAGAACTCATTAATGCTCTTGTGGTTAAATGGGAGAAAATGGCTGTAGTGTTTGGGTGTCCACATACCTTTTTGCTATGTAGTGTAAAGCACTGAAGTTCATCCAGTTTCCATGTAATCCTCTCAATGATTCGCAGTGCGACAGGATCCTGCATGATCGGCGTGCTGTGCAGCGATGGCGTTGGAGGAAGGCGCGCGGAGCTGTCTGCTGCGCTCTCGGCACAGACTGGAGCAGGACATCATGCCCTCCTACCTGATGGACCACATGGTCAGTGACGGTGTGCTGACTGTGGACGAGGAGGAGAGGATCAGGACCCAGGTGAGCCTCCGCTTAAGGTGGGACGGTGAAGGAGAAATTATTCATAACTTTGAGCCAATGATATTTATTTTCTTGTGTGTTGCTGCTATTTGTCCCCGCTTCCTTTCAAAACTGACCTAAATTATTTGATTGTGTAAATAAATAAATCCTTAACTTTATTTCATACGGATATTTAATCTACTGTCTTGGTTATGTGGCTCTGACCTTTGCACCTTCTACTCCTGATTATAACTGTGTGTATTTATTGTCTATGACTATCACCAGCTTATATGACTTTGACCTTTCAGTCAATAGTTTTGAGATATTTATATACATTGTTGTACTGTACACACCGTTAAAAAACATACATATGCCTTTTAAAAACTTGCTCTGTCTTAAAAAATCTTTCCACCAGCTCAAAAGAGAATCTTCAACATAGCAGCATTTAAAGTGCATATTATGAAGCGTATGTTTCATGTCTAATATCTCTCTCTCTCTCCAGCTCACCAGGAAGGATCAGGCTGTGGCGCTGCTGGAGCTGCTGCTCAGGAAGGACAACCGTGCCTACATCTCCTTCTACAATGCAATGATCAAGGAGGCATACAATGATTTGGCCAATCTCCTTCATCATGACCTACCCCGCCCAGTACCCGAGGCACATATGCGCTCCTCTGATTACTGCACACCTTATGGTGAGAAGGGGGAGCGGTGGGTGTCTGTAGCGTGGAGAGATTTGTGCTGTCGGTGCGTCTTTGAGTGTTGGAGAAAATCATTTCTTGTGCAGCGGTTTTGGGTTGCATGTGGTACTTTGGTTAGACACGTTTGGCTACTAATTCTGACTTTTCATTGTGATTTTGTGCACGTGGAAGGTTGACAACTTATTGAATTTATCTGCCTTCATTGTCTTCATGCTTTTGATTTAATCCTTTCTGTCGATCCCTCTCCTGTTGGTCTTGACAGTCCAGACGGTGCTCAGTGAAGGCGGTGTACCGCAGAGGCCCGTGGTGTTCGTCAGCAGACCGGAGCTCTTGAACCGCGTCAGGGAGAAACTCTACCGGCTGCAGAAGGAGCCTGGCTGGGTCACCATCTTCGGCATGGCTGGCTCGGGCAAATCCGTCCTGGCTGCCGAGGCTGTCAGACACCATGGAATCATCGAAGGTGAATAACCTTTGACTGGCTGACTCTACCTAACGCTAGCTGCAATGAAAAAGCATTAAAAAAAAAGTGTAGTAACGGCTGGTTTTCATTCATCAATAATGTTACAATCTCCAACATGTTTGCTTGATTGTCAGTTCTCTGTAGCTCCTCACCTCTTGCCTCTCTTACATGTCTTTTTGCTCCCTCTCCTCTTCCTCCATCTGCAGATTGTTTTCCCGGCGGAGTCCACTGGCTGTCCATCGGCCAGCTGGACAAACCTGACTTGCTGGTGAAGATCCAGTCATTGTGTTTCCGTCTGGAGCAGAGCCTTGAATCACAGTCCCTCCACCGGCCCCCCAACTCTCTGGACGAGGCCAAGGAGCGTCTGCGCTTCCTCATGCTGCGCAGATATCCAAGGTTGCTTTATGTTCAGATCAACATGATCGACTTTGTGTTTTTTTAGGTGCATATTAATGCTTTTCAAAAACGTGAATTATTTTTGTCGTATTTAGAACATGAGGTAGAGGAGCACTTCAGTCTCTTGTGGCCAACATGAGTATTACAACAACAACATGAAAATAACAATGTAATTTGGATTAACTTAAAAAAATTAATTGAATTAACTTAAAAAATTTGTTGAATTAAATTTAAAAAAAAAATTAAATACAAAAGTTAAAATGTGACAGTTCAAAAAGTGTAAAAGATATCAAAAAGATATCTGATTACTTGTCTGTTTCTGTTTGGGCTTCAGATCTCTGCTGATTCTAGATGACATCTGGGACAGCACAGTGCTAAAGGCGTTTGATATCCACTGTCGGATACTTTTGACCACCAGAAACAGAAGCCTTGCTGACTCTGTTAGTGGTATGTGCCCTATTTTTTTTTTTACTCTGGACATCATACACATGCACACTTGAATGAATTTAACCATATTTTTATAAACACTGGAATCTCCGCCTTTTATTTTGAAGGAGCCAGATACGAGTTGGAAGTGGCGAGTGGTCTGGATGAAGGCAAGGGTCTGGAGATCCTTGCTCTGTACACTAACACCAAAGTCAAAGGACTTCCCGAGGAGGCTCGCAGCATTGTCAGAGAATGCAAAGGTCTGTGAACTGAAACATTCTCTACATGCAATCCGTAATTATTTTCACAATATATATTCCAGATATTGTGACATATATAATTTGCCGTATGCATCTAAAATATTTACGGTAACATTTACTAATATCGGAGATCTAAATTACCCTTTAACAGTGTCAGCTTGCAGGTTCCCATCTAGTTTCATGGGGCTATGCCTTTGCTCACATATTGTGCCTTTAACACACACATTTCTGATTCTCCGTGCCACCATCTCAGGTTCCCCACTGGTGATGTCCCTGATTGGGGCTCTACTTAAAGAGAAACCCGACCGTTGGCTTTACTACCTCCGCCAGTTGAAGCAGAAGCAGTTCAAGCGTATACGGAAGTCATCGTCTTACGACTACGACGCCCTCGACCAAGCCATGGCAGCGAGCATTGAAGTCCTACCCGACGAACATCAAGAACTCTACAAGGACCTCACTGTGCTCGAGAAGGACATCAAAGTCCCTGCAAAGGTTTGGCTGCACAGCAAGAGCAACGTTCACACTCTTAATTTCCAAAACTGGTGATTTTTATTAGGTACATTGTTGTTTTGGCCTTACACATGCTAACAAAAGTGTCTCTTTAGTTTTACATTGGAAAAAGCAAACATGTAACCCACTATGTTCCAGTATTTGGACTTATTATTAGGATGCTTTTTCACAGAAATGAAAACAAGGAAATGGACCATCACTCGAAAAATGCACAGGCTACCGTGTTATTCCTCCTTCCAGGTGCTGTCTGTTCTGTGGGACCTGGAGCCGGAGGAGGTGGAGGACATTCTCGAGGAATTTGTCAACAAGTCTCTGCTTTTTGTGGACAGTAACAATAAACCCTACCTGTACTACCTCCATGACCTCCAGCTGGACTTCCTGGTGGAGCAGAATCGCACCCAGCTCAAGGTGAGTTTGGATGCAACCCTGCAAGAGCTCAAACTCTTGGATTTCAATCTTTTTTTGTTTCAGTGGGCACACATACATATATGTTCATATGTGTGTGTTTCAGAGCCTCCACAATAATGTGGTGCAGCAGTACCAGCAGCACTACAGAGATGGTCCTCCCACCTCAGGAGATGAGGAATGTCTCTACTGGATCAGATTTCTGACCTACCACATGGCCAAAGCCAACCTCTTCCAGGTAACACACACACCATTTTACACTTGTTCATCATTTAAATTAATAACTAGCGGTTATACCAAATGCGTTGTAATGTTTTTGGACGCCTGTATATGGCTTTACCTGATGTGCTGCAAATCAGTTCAACTGAACATCAGTGTGATCAATTATGTATAATGTGAGATATACTGATATTGCACAGCTGGTATCTACATTACTTATGTTTTTTTCTTTCTTGCTCACCATGTCTCATTTCGTCTCCTTCTCTGACTAGGAGCTCTACTCGCTCCTGTTTTCTCTGGACTGGGTCAGGACCAAGGCCCAGTTGATGGGTCCGGCTTACCTCATCAATGACTATGTGGAGTATGGACCCATTCTGGACAAAGAGGTCAGCAGACAACAAAACTTTATGTATGACACAAAGCGAGTGTGGTTACTTTGTGTATTTATCTTTCACTGTCACAAGAATAATTACCATTATAATTAATTATGATTTTTATGCCATAGTAACAATTTAATTTTGTGTGCGTTGTGTCGAGATTTCACCAGTATTTTTTTAATAAATGTATGTTGTCTGTACAAGTTACAGGTATTATCAAATACAGTTGCAGCTGAAAAGTTGCGTTCATGGATGAAAATTATGATTTCTGAAAGACCGTGCCACTCTGGCAGTTATGTAAAAAACAAAACCGGACTGGAACTAGAATAGGGATTTTCACAATTAAAAATTGTTAAAATCAATAGATTATTTATAGATTAAACTCCTCTGCTTGGAGTGCCTTGGGAAGAATAGTTGTGCCCTGATTTAACATGCAACTGACTTATTTTTCTGTCCCCTCAGAACTGTGATGTGCGGAGTCAATTCCAGGAGTTTCTCTCTCTCAACGGCCACCAGCTGGAGCAGCGTCCTTTCCCAGACGTGGTGCAGCTGGCTCTGTCTCAGCCGCATACATCCGAAGTCTACCGACAGGCTCTGCTGCAAGCACAGGACCGCGCCAGCATGGGGAAACTCTACTTTGAATGGCTGTAAGCAAGCGAGCAAATATTTCTCTGTGCTGGTCTGATGTGTGGATGTTCCAATAATGAAGTCAGAATCAAGTGATGCACAGGCCTTGTTGTGCATTGATGGATGTATTTCAATTTGTTTTGTTGTTATGTAGAAGAGTTCTGCAGCTGTATTGAGATAAAAGATAATTTGATTCAGTTTGTTTCATTTTCCTGTTGTGTAATTCAGTGAACTGTCAAACTGGCAACAAAAACAACTCATTTTCATTGAAACGTGCACAGTTATTATGTGAAGCATTGATGACAATTCATCTTAAATTAGGAAGGAAATGGCAACAGAATATCTGATTCAAAGTGATTTAGGGAGATAAATGCATTAAATTGGTCTTTTTACTCGGATTCATCCAGTGCAAAAATAGTTTTACAACTTATTATAAAGTTATAGAAATCATAGGCTGTGCATCCCAGGGTGGACTGATATGTGTGTTTGTGTTTTTTGCACAGGAATAAGAGCAGCGTCGAGAGTCTGTCCCGTCTGGTGATCCACCCCCACCAGGGCTCCATCTCCTCCGCCTGCTTCTCCCAAGACGGAGCCAAGATCGCCTCCTGTGGGGCCTGCAAGACACTGAAGGTATCAAAGCATGACGGCAAAACATAGAGAGCGATCCACTTTTATTGCCAGATGATATTATGTTCCTAACGGGTGAAACTTTTCACCGAATATACCTGTTACTGCTTTCACACTCAGGTGTTTAAAAGCACCTCAGGTGAGAAGCTCACAGAGATCCAGGCACATGACGACGAGGTGCTCTGCTGTGCCTTCTCCCCCGATGGCTGTCAGCTCGCAACCTGCTCCAGCGACAGGAAAGTCAAGGTCAGCAGATCCACTCACCCACTGTGACCCACTTGATTACAGCAACACACAAGAAAAGTACACACAAAGTCCAGCATTTCTATCAAACTGTGCGTCTCTTACTGCAGGTGTGGAACGTGGAGAGAGCCATGCTGCTCAGGGTCTTTGAGGAGGAGCATGAGGAGCAGGTCAACCACTGTGAGTTCACCAACACAAAGAAGCGCCTCCTGCTGGCCACCTGCTCCAACGACAAGTTCCTGAATGTCAAGGTAGGCCAGTGTGTTTGTTTTTGCCAACTTGAAAGCTAGTTGAATTTCACGTTTGCTTCTAAGTAAGTGTTATTGCAGCACTAAAAGAGTAAAATATGTGGTGGCCCTGAGAGCTCAACGCAATCAAGCTGTAAAACACGTGCAAATGAAGAAATCCGCTTCGCCATTTGTCAACGCGTGCGCAGCATTTAAGAAAGAAAATGCTACAAAGTGAGAAAGATGCAACCAAACACGTCTCTGGCAGCGTTTCTGTATTTGTGTTGTGTTCTCTGTATTTGCAGCCTATTTCTGTATTTGGTTTCACTCCTAAAATTAACTATATACCGAAAAAAAGAAGTTACTGCACTAATTTTGTTACAACAAGCCACAACCAAACTGTTACGTTTCTTCCTCTTTTGCCATCACTCGGTCTCTCACGTCTGACTTCACTTCTCTCTTCCTCGCTGTATTTCTCTCTTTTTCTGCAGCTGTGGAACCTCAACAAACCATCCTCCCAGAACACCATGTTTGGCCACTTTGAGCCGGTCAACCACTGCTGTTTCTCCCCCAATGACAGCTATGTGTCCACGTCCTCCAACGACGGTACCGTTAAGGTGACCACTATGAAATGAGATACTTGCAAAGCTTTTCCTAATTACCTAGGTGTTTGGGCGACTAACCACCTATCTGTATGTACGCAGCTGTTCCAGGTGTCGTCTGCCAATGAGTGGAAGACGATCAACGTGAGAGACATGTTTGCGGAGAGTGATGAAGATGTCCTCGTCAAGTGCAGCACTTGGACTGCTGACGGCAAACGCATCATATGCGCAGCCAGGAATGCTGCTCTGGTGAGCATTTATTTTGAAAGGGTTTATTCATATTTTAATGAGTGGAGCTGCAGGCTACTGTTTGCTGTGCGTGGGAAGTACCGACTGCGCGATGAAGAGGGTGTGAATGGTCTGCATGTGGCTGCGTCTTGTCGTACATGCCTCAGCTGTACGGATGAAAGTCCAACACCACAGGTTTCACTGCGTCCTCCCTGCCCTTGATTTCATTTCATTAAAAGGAGACAGGAAAGAGAGGCTGTTTGTCACGTTATCTTCCAGAGAGTCAGAAGAGTGTGTCCTGGTTTTAAATGTGAGCCCCTGCTCCCCTCCAGAGCTTTCCAAAATCAGTCAGTCTTGTCCTGCAATCAGTCCGTCTGTGTCCTCTACGTTTGTTTGTGTTTTGGGAAACAACCCAGCAGAGATGTCTGAGCTCATTCCTTTGACATTTAGGAGGGTAAACATAAGACTTTCATGTTGCAGGTTTGCTCAAGATAATACTTTTTATTGGGCAGTAAAACTCAACACTGACAATAAGTTTCTTTTATGTCATATTTCTTCATAAGAATAAGAGTTTAAACTCTCAAACATTGATATTGGCCTCAAAAAGCTACTATTGGTCGGGCTCTCATGTAAATGGGTCTAATTATTCTTGTTATAATTTCTCAGGTGTTTGACGTGGAGACATTGGACATGTTGATGGAGATCAGGACGAATCGTCTGAGCACGGTGCAATACTGTCACGCCTGTCCTACCAGTAACCTGCTGGCGATTGCGTTCTCAAACTACGCTGTGGAGGTAAAGGACATACTTACATACACACAATCATATCACACTATATATTTAGTGTCCTTTTTATGATCTAATATTTTACTTTGGTGGTTTTATGCATTATTTCTCCTCTTTCTGACCCGTTCTGTGCATTGCGTTGCTACTTACTGTGCCGAGGGTGTCTAAAAATAAATAAATAAATA